CTTGTCTCCTGTGAAAAAGCAAAGCAATAAAGTTGGTTCTATTAGCAGAAAATGAATCAGACAGCATAGCCCTGCTTCACGGCAAGCCGTAGTTACCAACTCACCGCAGCTGGGCATTAGTGCTCATTTTCAAAAGAATTTAGAAATGTCAGTGAAATATCTAAACAATTTTGCCAGCATTTCCATTTGGACAGAATTTTGTCAGCATTTCCATTTGAACCTGAATGTGGGTAGCAGCGTGCAGTGAAACAGGGCCCTGCTCAGCAATGCTAAGCAAAGGGTGGAAACAAACAGTTGAAAATGAAAAGACAAACGAGCTAGAGCAGCATCTCCACACCAGCAGACTTCCTACATCAACCAATCTACAAATACACACCAGCAAACACCAAGCAAAATCAGCAATTTTTACAACCAAATGTACCTACCTAGAAATTTGGGTAGGTACAAGTGGAGCAGACGTCACACCAAGGTTTTCCAGCTAAGGAGAGGCGCTATACCCGGAGATGCTTCTTTCTAACCTAAACGCCGGTGGTGTTGGCGCCTTCACCCACTGTTCTGGAGGCACCACTGAGATCCGAACTCAGGATCTCCTGTTTACCAGAAAACAAACATAACCTAACCTGGCCTAACCTACAAACCTACAGCGCCTATCTTTGGTTGGAAGGCCTTTGCGTGACGTCTGCTCTACTAATGCCAAAATTTGTACTTTTGGTATGATTAACTGCAACCAAAGGTGCTTACTCCCTTGCTGATCCTGCTGAGCCTCCCATACAGTCATACTGATACATTGTTTGCAATTGTACCATTTGAGAAACAAAGAAATGTGCCGACTGAAAAATATGGATACAAAGAATTGCAGGGACAAACATTTTCCAGACAAGTAATTGCGCAATGAAGATTTTTTTTTATAAATTTAGTCCGAACCTTTTGATGGGAAGGATTCACAAGGACAGAGCCACCGCTAAGCGAAGCTTGTTGCAATGACCCTGCCCTCTACCCTCCGATCGCGCAATTCCGATTCTATGGCAGAATTTTGAGTCCAAAGTTTAACGTGCGCACAAATCCGCGCACGGCCGGTCCCCTCGCTGACTTCACCTGGCTACGGCCTGCCACCAACCGCAGCCATACCTGTCAGGAGGCCCATAAATGTCGAGCGCCCGACATTTTAGGTAAGATACTTAAAAAGATTTGTCCTGAAATCACCTAGAAGTTAAGTTACCCAAGCAGGTACTTAACAAAATGGTGTGAGCCTGTGAGGGTTGCATATCTAAAAAGTCATAAAAGCAGCAATATCACGATAATAAACAAAAGGAGATATCACAATGTCGCATGACGAACCTCATCAGTGTAGTCCATTTCTTCAACTCCCCCTCGTCCCGGGGCAATCGGAAGAAGGAGCACTTGGACTGGGACCTGGCACTGGAATGACTGCATTGAGGCACAAAACAAAAAGGCATATTTGCTCCTTAGATGTAAGACTGACTCATCTCCGAGATTATTCGCCCCAACAGCACTCAAACTCGATGAAAAAAGCGGGAAAAGCCAAAAGGGCGACTCAATGCACATTTCTGATTATCTGTTCAAAGTGCACTTTCATAAAGATACGGAATGCGCTGATTGGCTTTAACGTGATGCGCTAACGTCACTTAACGTGAAAAAGCAGCCGTAAGCGGTTTTTCGAATATATATCGAATAAATGTATTGTTTGCGCAGTATTTGTAACAACAAAAACTGAGGCTCCTTCTCGCCCTTGGAATGTGCCATCGTTCGAGTGGTACATCAAAAATTATTTTTGTTTTTATGGGATGAATACGTAGTTCTGTTCATCCTTCTATGAGATAAGGAAGAAAATTAGATGTCCCCGGCAGTAAAATGAAGATTTTTGGCACCTTGCAACACCCTGACAAAAGTCCATAGGATTTACATAATGTTTTAGAAGAAGAAAAAATCGTTGAACCCCACCGCCATTTTCTGGTCACGTGATGTCACCCACCTGGGTGTGATTATCTAAAAGCTAGGCAAGCATTTGAGTAGGTCACTATACTCTGTTCCGTTTCAAGTTTGCAGCCGAAGTGCCCTGCTGAAAGCAGTGCGTGATTTCTGTATGTATATACCTACACTCTTACATTTTAAGACGCAAATTCTTCAGCGGAGGAGCGATCTGCCGAAGAAACTCCGACTGCAAGCTTGATATGGAACAGACTATAGATGTTGAGACAAAAAATAATTGTCTTTGGCAAATGATATTTGCAAATTTGGAGCTTGTTTGATGATCTCTTATTGACACCAAAACACTGAACAGTGAACAAAGTCTTACATTTTTATGACTTTCCTCGTGGCTAGTGCGTACCTACCAAAGAAAGCGCATCATTATAAAGACAGAAAGTTAAAATATTTGGCTGAAGGATCCGTGAGGATTTAGGTAACGTTAACGTAAAACGCCAACGTAGAGCTTCAGACGAAACACGAAGGTAACCGGAGGTATAAAATAATCAAAACGGGAAAAGGAAGTAATTAGCAACGTGAGAGAGGAAGCAAGAAAGAGAAAGAGAGATAGAGATAGCGAGAGATAGAGATAGCGAGAGATAGAGAAAGACAGATTAGAGAGAGAAAGAGAGAGAGAGAGAGAGGGAGAGGGAGAGAGAGAGAGAGAGAGAGAGAGAGAGAGAGAGAGAGAGAGAGAGAGAGAGAGAGAGAGAGAGAGCACTGAGACGGACCAATGAGGTGGAACAATAAAAACAGCGATTATAGCAAATAAAGCAGAGGAAACAGCTAAGACGGATCTAAGTGTAGAGCATTCAGAGCATTTCTCCTTTCTACATCATCTGAAATTGATGAAAAATTATCTATATTACTATTTGAGGAAGGCGTAGTTTCTGTCTATTACGAAGGTCGCGACATGGTGCTACGTAGCGCGGGTTACAGATCACACCGTTGCACCTACCGCGCTGAAGTTTGCGCAACTCATAGAACAAGGATGGACAACGTGCCTTTGAGCGGTCTCGGCTCGATCGGATCGATAGCGAGCGCGTGGCGCGTGCCCCAAAAGTGCAAATTCGCGTCATAGACTTTACAGGTATAAATCGGCCTGCAAAATCGGGCGAAAATGGCCAAATTTGCCCGACACGGGTCCGGTTTCCGTGCAATATCTCGGTAACCGTGGGCCCGATTGGCACGGGAAAAACACCATCGTGTAGAGAATCGAACGGGCTATCGAATGGTGTGCGGTGCAGGGGTGGCACGCGCCACGTGCAAGTGTGAGGGCAATTTCATTTGAAAAAGTGCCGTTTTAAACGGATTTTGGATTTTATTTTATTTTCCCGTGACCATCAGACTGAGAGAGCTTAAACAACGTCAATTGGCAAGAGAAATGTACCGCCTCTCATAATAAAATTGTGAAAAGCTAATTGATCAAAAACAAGGTGGAAAAAATCGCTGAATTAAATGGTATTTGTCCAAAATGTGCCACTAAATAATTACACGGATTTTGCTGCTTAACCTGATACGTTTGACAATTGAAAATGCTATCATTGGAAAGAGCATTCAATTCTCTCCAAGATCCAATCATCACGTTTGCATGACAAGCAACAGTATTCTTAAAAATATAAATGTTTCAAACCTCTGCAAAACGATTTTTAGTGAAAATTATCTACGCCTTTAATTTGTCATAAAACTACGCACCTCAATTATAAAGCACATTTGACAGATTCTGAAGTGGAAAGCATGCTTATCAGACACGGGCACCTCGATGCGGTGGATATTTTTTCCACAAACCAAAACGTTTAGCCGTCAAAAAGCAATCGACCGAAATGGATAGATAACCAAACCGACACAAGAACAACCGAACACCCGCCGATCGAAAATATCCCTTTTCGCTTTGCGGAGCACGCGGGTCACCCTAGTATTCGCTATTTATATAAACATTGCAATGGCAATTTGTATATACGAGTATAAGCAGTGCACTAGGCTTTTGCATCAGTAGCTGCCTATTTACTGATTTCTTCCTGACGCTCAGTAGCCCTCCGCATGTGCGATGAAAAGGCATCATAGTGCTATGTATAGATTGATGCATGAATGCACCAATCAATATAACACAAATAACCCCTTCTGTCTCATTCAAGTAACTGACTTGAGTTTTAACTGTGTTAATCCGGCGGCCGCCACGCACCAGCCGCTGGAGGGGGGGGGGGGGCAACTAGCTGCCCCCCTTTACTTCTCTGACGATATCGTCGTAACGCATAAAGATAGAGAAAAGAAACTTCGCACACATATTTCTGAATAGCTAGCCAAAGCTGTGTCCTAATTTTGTGTCTATCTCATTTGAAATTACGTCACAGTGACGTCATAACTCATGAGTTTCCTTACGATATACACGATATATAGGATCGAAACCACCAAATATATATGATCGAAAACTGGTCAGAAACTAGTTAAAAGGGTACCTACTTACACGTAAGTACTTAGGTGTCTTAGGATGACAACAGGTGCTGTTTAGTTCATTTGCCGTTGCGTTTCATGCTCAGTGACATCAGAAACGCTCCATATTGGAAAACTACAAAAGCTTTATGTCGTCATTGTGACGTCATCATAAGTACTATAACTACCAAATTTCTATAAAATATTGCCTAGGTACTCATTTGAAACTACGCTAAGTTTCATGTTCATATCTAATCAGTTTTTGGAGGTATCGCGCAAAAAAAATGTGTACACCAAATCAAATATACCCAATCAATGACATACCTAATACCTATATACCCATAATGGGTATTTTCCAAGTTCCGCGATAGATGTAGGGTTTCATGAAACTTACTTCAGAAATCTGCTTAGCACGGATTGTAAAAAGCCAGCAACTACTGTTTTATACTCGTATAGCAATGAATTTCATTTTCACACGTAACAATTGGATGTACTTGTTTAGCTTGTGTAAAAAAAAATGTGCCGATAAAACCCCATAACAGCTAACATATTTTCTAATCAGGTGCGCACTCATACGACAGACTTCATTATGAAAACACCGGGTCGCCGGCGGCGCGCGGCGCCTGCGCTGCCGGTCCGTGGCAGCTCAGCTCTCAGCTCTCAGCTCCATATAAGGCGGCCCAGGTGGCCAAGCAGCCGTCTTCTGCTCTCAGCTGTCGGCCAGTGACCACCTCTCGAGGTCTGTTCACCTCAATGGTGAGCTTGTAAAGCCTCACTCAGTGCTGCAGGCATGGCACACTGTTGTCTTCTTTTACCCTATGTTTTTTTTTAAAGCGCTTGTAGTTATTCTTTTTGAAACTCCTAAAAGTTGCGAATATCTTTCATATTTTACTTCGTTTAATGCATTGTTAATGCTACGATTAATTTATTAAACAATGAGTAGATACGAGGGTAAAAAAACATTTCGCGTTTCTTATTTCGCATTATATTGAATATCTCTTACCTCTGTTCATCGTTATAACATATTGCGCTTAAAAGTGTATACCATCTCTGTATTGTATTGTATTGTATTGTATTACCTTCATGGACAATCCACGCGGGGCGTGGCGATTACAGTCCAGAGTCTGAGTCGGGCACAAACAAAAACATGCGGGGAGCCGCGAGTTTCATCCTAGCACATATTCCTCCCGTCAAGTTGACACGATCTGCCCACAGATGACGTCATCAATGTCGGTGCTGCCCCTGGTGCTGCTGGTAGCGGCTGTCGTCCACGGTGACACCCAGGAGGGTCAGAACATCAGCAAACGCAGCGCCCATCTCTGCGGAAAACACCTCGTGGAGACCCTCTCCTCAGTCTGTGGATGGAACGTCGGCAAGCGCGCCGCGGTTGCCGCAGGTACGCAGGTGTACGTTCATTTCGCCCGTCAGACAAACGTGATGTTATTCATCATTCAGTCAGTCAGAAATCATTTATTCGTTCAGTTATTGGGAAATAAAACATCGGGTTGGAGAGCATAACAAAAATAATTCGATGAAGCATGACTCATTTGGTAAGCTGGATGTATGTAGCAGCACGACGAAACGTGTTTTCCCATACGTAAATTCAATATCATTTACGGTTTTGAACCCCTCTTCTACAAAAATAGTTCAGCTAGCCATTCCCGCTTCTGTTTTTTGGCCAGGATTTCTGCCGGAGGAGCCGCTGTACGGCCGTCTCAGTGACAGTCGCTGGCTGGAGCTGCCGTCCGGTGACGTCGTACCCTCGGCCGATATGACGTCAGTGCGGCAGCGCGTGCTGCAGAACCTGTTCACACCGCACTCTCAGGAGAGGCGGCTGTTCGCTGGGGGCATCCGAAACAAGCGCTCCATCGTGGACGAGTGCTGCGACACTCCGTGTGACCTCAAAACGCTGAGTATGTACTGCTGATGAGCCCGCAAGGAATCGCCACCGTATTGACGACGTATGGGGTTTATGACGTCACTTAGTGGACGATCACACTGGAGTTGATAAACGGTTTTGAATCGTTGGACAGGGAACTGATAAAGGCTGGTAACTGAATAGTGGATAGTAAATATATGAGGAAAATGCTTTTTTGTCTTTGAACATATGGGGAGCAAAGGTGCTATGGAACTTTGATAAGTGAAGACAAAAATAATTAATAGTTAATAAGATGACGCACAGAAGATCTAATTTGTTTTGGATGGATTGGTCGATCCACTGTTGGATCCACAAAAGCGGCAATGATCGCTGCGGAAAACATACTCCTCAAAACGTTTATACGAATTAAAACTACAGCTTCGCCTCTTACGCGCTTCGTGATATGTGGATGCATTCTAAGCGAACTTTACTTCTGGTAAAGATTGGTCAATATCCTTTCTAAGCGAAAAATACGTCAGGTTTTCTCCTTGGGTTTTCTTTAAAGAGCATTAAGGTGCGCTGAGGCATGCGCCCCTGATTCCCTTCCCCATGGATCCACCAGCGTACTCGTAAATCTCCCTCCGGTCCCGTCTCTGCCGTTCGAGCCAGAACATCGGACGCCTGGACGCCGGGTCTGGGTAGACTGTACCGCAGGACAGAGAAGCGCGGCGGGACAGCCTACCCTGCCAGGCAGCCATCAGATGGACGTAATGGTGGGCTGTCGGCATAGCTTTAGCACGAAATCCCGTCAACTAGGTGATAACAGGAGCTTCCACGTTGTTGCCGGCGGCAAGGACGGTTTAGAAGGCAAGGGAACTAAAGGCCACCGTCCACAATGCGGAACGCTTGCGGTCCGTACGGAATTCAACACAGAACCATATGAGCGCATCCGCCATCCGGTCCGCACGGAAATCGTGTGCGTACTGTGCGGACCGTATCCGAACAGCAATCAGCTGTTGATTTTCCGTCAGCTCTCCGCAAGGGTTTCGGAAGCGGTTGCCGCGGAAACGAAATAACAAAGTCCGACATGTTGAACTTTTCTGCGAAGAACGCAGACGGAATGGACGCGGACAGGGACCGTCTTCCGTCTTCGAGTTTTCAATTGCAAATTTAAGATAGAATTTCAACACTTTCAAGATGAAATAAGTAAACATAATTTCCTTGAGATGGCACCATCATGCTAGTAAATTGCTATATTTTCTTTTGTAATAACTGATAACTGCTCTTCACAAAGTGTTAGCCAGTGTCCGTGAGCTTTCCGTCTGCGTTCCGGATGCGGTCAGCTTGCGGCGACATTCCTGACGGACTCCGGACGGAATTCCGGGACAGTGGACGGCGGCCTTTAGTTACCGCCACTACCGTTACTACCAGTTACTGCTATGCCAGGTTGCTTACTCAGTTCCTCCTCAGTTGACAAGTGTAAACGTGAAATGAACTATACGAACGTCTACAATCGACACAAGTGCATCAACCCAGATAAAGATTATCAAATCAAAGTTCTTCCGACGAACCCTATGTCCCTAATGTGTCGTTTTAACTGCCATTTATTACTTTTGTCATACTGTGCTAGCCGAAATAAGTTACGTTCCGTCTGTTCTGTAGGCTGTCTCAGGCCTCACGAAACCCCAACGAATACACTTCAATGGAGCTGATTTGTTGCCATAAGCAATCGCTCTATCTTTGATATGGAGACATGTGTTCCAACTTCCAATGAAGATACTTTCGTGGTTTTGTTTCATTATGCATTCACTATTCACTAACGCAAACATAGACCCGGGAACAGGGGGGGGGGGGCAGCGGGGGCGCTTGCCCCCCCCCCCAACTTGGGAGCCGAGGGGGCGGCGCCCCCTCAACATTGAGGCAGCGAGAAAAGGTCTTTCCTCCCTTTTCCGGACTTCTTTCCTTCTTGTTTCCTTTATGCATCTAAACATCAACACACGGCATTTTCCTTGCCATCTGAATGGTTTCTGCTGATACAGTATCGATTTGACATCTGCTATTGTCATCCCGCTTTGATTTGGGCCTGACCTTGGCCATAAGCTTGGCAGACCAGTTTTATACTGGACCATTTTGAGTCAACTTTGAGAAATGCATAACGTACAACGGTGGTAAAATCGTTGCTATAGGTACTCGTATAACACAGTTTACCCCTCCGGGTGTGAGGGAGGGGTGTGGGCCGGGCAATGAGTGCACTGACGTGGCGCCCTCGGTATGGGATGGGATGCATTGGATACATTAGAGGGCCGGTATGGGATTAAAGCTCAGCGACACTTAGGGCTTATGTGGTGCCTTCCGTTATCGGCAGCACCCTCAGAATCACCGGCGTAGGGCCCTCAGAGCCGCCGGTAAGGGGCCTTTAGAGGCACCGGTGTGGGGCCGTTATGCAGGTGCCGGTGTGGGCGCTCAAAGGTGCTAGTGTGATTCTCTCAGAGGCGCCGATGAGGGTCCTTACAGGCGTTGCTGTGGGCCCTCATAGAAGCTGGTGTGGAGCCGTTACAGACGGGTGTGGGGGCTTTAAAGCTGCTGACGCGAACTCTCTACAAGCCGGCAGGGGGTCTCAGTGACCGGCAAGGGGTCCTTAGGCCGGTAGAAGAAGTCCTGTGGGGTCCTTAGAGACCGGCATGGTACTGTCAGACGCCGGTGGGGCCCTCAGACTCACCGGTGTGGGACCCTCAAAAGTCACCAGTGGGTGGCCTTCAGATGCACAGGTGTTGGTTGGGTCCTCAGAGCCGCCGATACAGGGCTTAATTTTAATAGGCACTGGTGTAGGCACTCAGAGTTGGGGGTGTGAAACCCTCAGAGACACCGGTGTGGGCCCTCATAGGCGCCGATGAGGGCCCCATAGTTGCCGTTATGGGGCCTTCAGAAAAATAAGTGTGGGACCATCACAGGCGGGAAATGCCTCTAGAACTGGCCCCTCATAGGCCGGTAAGGACTCTCAGAGGCCAGTAACGGGCCTTTGGACTTTGGAGACCACCGAGGTGCCCTGAAAAGGCGCAAGAGGCGCTCAGAAGCCGGCGTGGGGCCCTTATGGAGATCTTAGTGTGGCTATTTAGGGCCCATGAGGTGCTCTAACGAGCCCCATGGGGCGGTCAGCGGTTTGACCTTCAGTGGTCAAATGGCGCCGCAGAGCCACTCGGACCCGAAGGTCCCTTTGAACCCGATGGGGGGGGGGGGGGTACGTGTTCCCCTACACCCCTAGCTACGCCACTGTTTCATATGCATCATGTCAGGTATTTTAGGCTCGCCCCCCAACTTGAAAATCGTTCCCGGGCCCCTGAACGCAAAGGAACAACACACAAGTTTACATCATTCACAACCAGATAACAAGTCTCCTTTTATTTATTCGCAATGAAAGATGGTAAACATGGACGGTGAGAGGCCAAATAGGTTTGTCTTACCATATCAATAGTACGAGTGACAGGAATTTATTGCGAGAAGCTCCCTGGGCTTCCTTATTCATAATCTGAGTGTATCTACATCGCAACTCATCAAACATCAACTCTTGTAGTTATAAATGGACAAGTATTGTATCGAGAGTACATGAACCTCCAGGCTCCACGAATCAAACTATTAAAACAGTTACATTTAAGGCGTACCGGTTTCGTCTATTGACTTCTTCAGCGCCGTATGAAACAAGGAACAAGTTCCTTGTTTCATACGGCGCTGAAGAAGTCAATAGACGAAACCGGTACGCCTTAAATGTAACTGTTTTAATAGTTTGATTCGTGGAGCCTGGAGGTTCATGTACTCTCGATACAAAACATCAACTCATATCACTCATAGAGTTTTTTTCTTGGGTGAAGCTGTAGCAGCTTGTTGCCTTGAAAAAATGTGCTTACCTGTATAGTCGACTACAAAATGATGTTCCACTCCTCAGAAGCTATCAGTTGACCGGAGCGCTAAGTTGTGCCGTTTATCACGCAATTAAGCGTGTCAATTGTAAGCATTGGGACAAAGCTATAATTTGTGAACTCAGCCCGTGTGATGCGGCACAGCCTACCACTCCAGGCAAATAATTGCCTGTGAAAAGTGGAACATCATTCTGTAGTCGACTATACATACACCCAAGATTCCTTTACTACTCCTTTGCTACTCCTTTACTACGGGCCGCCTTTTACATACACCTGGGCCGCCTTATATGGAGCTGAGAGCTGAGAGCTGAGCTGCCACGGACCGGCAGCGCAGGCGTCTCACGGGCGGCGGTTACCAACAACGGCCGGTTGTTCGGAGAAACAATCTAGCGCCCAATCAGATACAGATTAGCGAAAACGGGAAATCGATCTGCCTGGCCAGTGCCAGCACTCGGAACCAACTTATAGCTCGAATGGGTACACAACACAGCAGCATGTTGCAGAAATGGGTCCTTATTCTACATCTGAACCTTTCTGTGTGCTTACTGGTATAAATTGTCCCAAAAGTAATAAAGCGGTAAGGAAGCAGACCAGATATGCTCATGTACGAGTACGAGATAAAGTCTAGTACGAGTTTGAATCACCCGACTCGTTAACTATTATCCCGTTATCATGTTGTGCACGCTTCACTTGGTCACAACTCTGCAGAATATAAACGTGTGAACCGGGCCGCCCGTCGAGAGATTAGGCTTTGACAACTGTCTGAAGATTCGGCGGTGACGGATACTGGAGGAGTGGCACAGCCCGAGATGCGTCCTATCTTGTTTGTTGTAATGCTTACTGTCGTGTCAGTTGTACTTTTTCAAGTGTGCACACCACACGTGTGGTGTGATTGATCATGATCTCATTCAACTATAGTCGACACTGATAAGACATAACTTGCTTTGAATATATTTGCATGATATGTTTTCAGTCACACCGATGAAAACGAAAAGTCGATATTGCATCTCCCACCATCATATGTGTATGTGTTATCAGCGAGCGTACATTAATCATGAGCGTACAACGATGCAGAGGAGCATAATATATACACGTAACACAATGAAGAAAAGCGACGATTCCTAAGCTATACTATTCACAACACGTTTATTGAGCAAGTTTTCAAGGGAACAATAGGTGACAGTTTTCTAAAGATGATCTAATCTAATGCTGGGAAATAGCAATATCGTCTTCAGCGGACGCAATGATATTTATGTAGACATTTCGAGCATCAATTTATACAATCATGACCAGCAGTACTTGGCTTAGTCT